AAAACCATGAGAGTCCACCCCACTGACTGCCTTAATTAATTTTAAATATGTTAGATATGATTGGAGGGTCGGCAGGGCCATTGACTCAGCAGGAAGTTGAGTTTCTGTGCCTGTTAATGCCCCCGCACGCTGAGAAACACAGCAGTGCACACAGACCCCCTCTGATTCTCAAACAGCTGTGTAAATGAAGCTTCCCACTGAAAATCAGCTAGTGGGACGCCAACATTACATCCCTAAAAGACTGTAGGAATGCGAGTCTCGCATGAAATGATGGTACTGCTGTGATGGGCTCTAAATGAGATGGACATTTCTGTTTCATGGCTCATTAAAAGGCATGGTTCTAGAGGACAGTAACCAGATAGGAAGATGATGACAGTACAGACTGAAGACTAACAGTGGCTGAGGACATTAGTGATAGACATCAAAAGAGACATCAAGAGTCAATAATTAAATGAGCACAAATTGCGTACCAGTCTGGAAGCGCCCTCGATGGCCACCAGTCACAGTGAATTTGTAGCCCCATTCGGTGTTACTCATATCTGATATAAACCTGTAGTAGAGGGTGTCCCCTAGAGGACAAAGAGAAAGAACAAACCTTACATTGCTCATTTATCATTGTACCCAAAGAGAAAATTGATGTACATGAGCAGATATACAAATGTGTAGAAAAATTAGCGAAGCCTTTAGATTGGCCTGGATTTCTGTATAAACTGGCCATAAAATTAGATCTGATCCGTCACAACAACAGACAAACAGCTTTTGCTTAAACCAGAGGTTTTCACACTGGAGTCTACGGACCCCTAATGGGGAGAGCCCCAAAAGGAGTGAAAAATTTGAGAGAAAAGAAAAATGTTTTACAATATGGATTTATGGCTGATGATACAACTATTTGAAAATCTGGAATATGTGGAAGCAAAAAAATCTAAATATTGAGAAAATCGCGTTTAAAGTCGATAAAGTTTTGATATATTTACAGTAGGAAATTTACTAAATATCTTCATGGTAGGATCTTCATCTACATGATCTTTACTTAATGTCTTAATGATTTTTGGCATAAAAGAAAAATCTATAATTTTGACCCATACAATGTATTTTTGGCTATTGCTACAAATATACTCCAGCGACTTAAGACTGGTTTGGTGGTCCAGGGTCACATGTGTTAATAATTTGCTTTTGCTGTAGTACAAAAAAGTAAATTAATTAATTTTGGAAGTACTGGATTTAATAACTAATCATTTTCTGCAACTGCGGACAGGACCTGGAGATTCTTCTTGCCCTTCGTTGCGACTTAGTTAAAAATTTAAAGAATTCAATGACCAATTTATGCAGAAATTCAGATAAATCTAAACTAAGCAAACGTAAGTCTGTTATGATTTATTTATAAACAAATTATAATTATAAACATTTAGACGTGCCACTTTCTCCAAATCTCACCTGGAATCTCAAAGTCGGTCCATTTCTGGTGAGAACCACTGAAAGTGTGCAGGTCCTGCAGGAAGTCACTACTGCTGGCCATAAGGAGCTCATCACATCCTTCCTCTGTGTGACAGCGAGAGTCGAACTTCACAGACAAGAAGATCGCTCCAGGGATGTGCACCTTATCCTGAGACAACGCAAACTATGACATTAAGTGGACAAGGGAAACACAACTGTGATCCAGAGAGTTGGAGTAAAAGAAAATGGAAAACTCATACCTCAAAGTTAGTGTTGTTGTCGTAGGGGTGCTTGGATTCTCGGACCTGCACGGCCATCCCCGGCTCCTCCATAAACTGACATGCTGTCAGTGACAGATTACCCAGCATGCTCTGGCTGCAGCCCCTCAGAACCTTCTGCAAGATCTGAAATCCAACACGAGACGAAGAATTATATGCATACCAACAATCTGATTTTATGTCATTTAATGGCTTATTAATTTATTTATATACTCATAAATATTTATTATACAGTACATAAAAATGCAAAAAAAAATGAAATGAAGAATGAAACACTTCTGGCCCGCAAATTTTCTCATCTGGTTTGGCATAAGCTAATTTTAGATCCTGATTACAAATCCACACACTCCTTCCCCTTCTCACCTTCTCCCACATTGCTCTCTCCTCTAGTTGCATGAGCATGTCCAGTATGTAGGCCATGTGAGAAGCTCCACTCAGCTCCAGGTCTTCCTCTCTGATGGGAGCGTCAGAGGGCCAGTCGGCCAGCAGTGTCGCCAACACGTGACGTGCGTACAGAATCGCAATGGCCTCGTTCACTTTGAAAAGGTACTGTCGCACTGCTTTGTTACTGCGAGCATCCAGCTCTTTATGCAGCAGAGCTGAGCTTTTGGTGCGCCGCTGTTTGGCATAACTCAGCTGGAGGTCACTCTCTGTGTTGGTGATGAGTTTCTGCGTGACAACATTTGTTTCTTCTGTGGCTCGATCACACCGGGTGGGTTTAGACTGAGGGTCAAAAAAAGAATTAAATGAATTAACATTAAGAATGAATGAATTTGAATGTAATTGAATGTACTTCAGATCACAAAATGGAACATGTTTAATCTTAAACTTAGTCTTACCACACAGGGCACAATGATAATATCAGTATCTACAGCCTTGGTGTTTCTTTCCTCAGAATGAGGTCTTTTAGATGGTTGCCACTTCTGTGCCAGTGTACGAATAGTCTCATCGGTTTTTATAGCGTCACCGTCAAACCTGAGATATGATATGTTTGAGATAAAGTCTGAATTAATTTGATACAATTGAGATGTGCACAAGATTCATTTACAATTCTGCTCATAAGTTTACACAGAATATGCAAGCTCTTTAGCACTTTGTAGACAATAAGAGGGATACATTCAAATTGATGATACCATCTTAAGATTTGTGGTGTCTCTTATTTTTTCTTATTATAATTTCTGATTCTGCAAGGGGTATGTACATTAATAAGAACACATTCTAAACCTTGTCTATGTAAATGAAATAATAATTCAAAGTGTAACTCACCTCTTCTGCACCTCAAGGAAGAAAGAATCTGTCCTCTTCATCTGGAGCTCATACATTGCTCTCAAGATGTGCAGTGGTGCATTAAGAGCATCATGGGTAATCTAAGAGCAAGACAAATATCGGAGCTCTAATAACTGTTCCTCTACATACTCGTCCCTACATTCCAGTAGTATGAATTATCTGCCCCTTCTACAGTTCCTAACTGGTGAGGAGAAATTACAGCACTCAATAAATCTGACCATTCTAAATTAAACTGCTGGAAGAGATTTGAGAAGAACAGGAGGTGGCAATGCAGAGAACTGAAAACGGCCCACAATTGACAGAAAGTTAGTGTCTGAAGCCTGACCTGGAAGCAGATCTTTGTCTCTTCATCCAGTCCTTCGAGTGGATCCGGTCTGTTTGGATCAGTATCATCAGCACAGCAGCTGGAGTGATCAGAGTCATGCTCTTTCTCTCTTTCCTTCTCTCCATCTGTCTCTGTGTCTGCATCCTCTGCCATGGAGTGGATCTCTCGCTTGGAGGAATAAAGCATGATCGAGAGGATCTCTAGGTCTCGCAAAAGCCACATCTTGCTGAAGCCTGTGCCCTTGCTGCACTTACGGACCAAGAGCTGCATCAGGCCAGAGCCTTGGATGGCCTCCTGGGCTTGATCCACCCCATGCTTCTACAAGAAATAGAGACAAATCAATACACTCATGACTTCAAGTTGAGTATTTATATAATGGCCCCAAAACATCTTGGAAACTAAAGTCATAATTGAAGATATAAAAATGTCATTGCATTAGATAATATCAAAACATGCCACAAAAAGAGAGTAGCCCCTGATTGCAGAACACAAGATTCAGGGGGCGTGGTTGGATCCACATCTAGGGGGTGGAGATTGGTAGGTTTAGGGGTGGAGATGGGTGGGTTTAGGGATCGGGGGTGGAGATCAGAGCATGTGAGCGGAGCGGAGTGGTAATATTTCCTTAAGAGCACAGAGCGCCTTTCTGAAGATTCCGCTCCGCTCGCTCATAACGCTCAGCGCCGCTCGCTCAACCCAGAAGTGGGTTTTGGGATCAGGGGGGGGGAGATTGGTAGGTTTAGGGATGGAGATGGGTGGGTTTAGGGATCAGGGGGGTGGAGATTGGTAGGTTTAGGGATGGAGATGGGTGGGTTTAGGGATCAGGGGGGTGGAGATTGGTAGGTTTAGGGATGGAGATGGGTGGGTTTAGGGATCAGGGGGGTGGAGATTGGTAGGTTTAGGGATGGAGATGGGTGGGTTTAGGGATCAGGGGGGTGGAGATTGGTAGGTTTAGGGATGGAGATGGGTGGGTTTAGGGATCAGGGGGGTGGAGATTGGTAGGTTTAGGGATGGAGATGGGTGGGTTTAGGGATCAGGGGGGTGGAGATTGGTAGGTTTAGGGGTGGGTTTAGGGATCGGGGGGTGGAGATTGGTAGGTTTAGGGGTGGAGATGGGTGGGTTTAGGGATCGGGGGGTGGAGATTGGTAGGTTTAGGGATGGAGATGGGTGGGTTTAGGGAGCAGGGGGGGGGAGATGGGTAAGTTTAGGTATATGTAAGGTGGGTGGAGCTGGATCTGGATCTAACCACGCCCCCTGGATCTTGTGTTCTGCAGTGAGGACCATCTCCAAAGAGAAGTAAAATACAAACAAAAGACATATGTACACACACAAATATGCACCATTAAAATCATTATAAATTACAATGTATATAAATTTGTATTCATTCATCATAATAATTATTATTAATTACTCCAGGATGTCAAATAATCCTTCATAAATCACTCTAATATGTTGATTTGGTGCTCAAGAACCATCTTATTATTAGCAATGTTGAAAACAGCTGCATAATATTTTTGTGGAAACCGTGATGCATTTTTTTTCTTTCAGGATTCTTTGATGAGCAGAAAAGTTGTCAATTTAATGTGAACTTCCTGAATAAAATGATTAATTCCTTAAAATATATATATACAGTATATTATATGCATAAATACATATACACACACTTAGATGTTTTATAAGTATTTTTATACAATTATACAAAACAATGAATTTACACTTTTTGTGGTCACTGTGCTTGTTTCTGTGGCTTGAAACTTGGAACCTTTTTTGCTATACCAGGACAGGTGTGTGTTGAATACCTTGAGAGTGTTGTAGAGTCCTTTAAGAGCAAGAGAGAGCACCCAGGTGGCCTCCACAGCATCTTGGGCACTGCTCTCCACCCCAACCTGCAGCAGGTGACTCACAACGGAGGTGAAGTTCTTCAGGTAGCGGCTCAGGTGAGCGGAGGTCGGAGACACAGCTCGTCCCTCATGAGACTCCGCATCATTCCTGCTGCTGCTCTCATGTGCCTGGACTAACTGGTAGTCTTTCACTGAAAGGAAAAGTAGACTTTAGAAAGTAGAGATGCATTAATGCACTTTTTTGTTTTACTATTGGAGTGTCCATGGGTGTTTCCTCTGAACAGCCATTAACTGAGGCTATGAAGTCCAAATTGAATGTTTACATAACATCCTGTTTACTGAAATGTCTTCATCAGTTTAATTTCTGATGGTAGTAGAGAAATGCTACCCATTATAACCCTCAATCCTACATATTTCTGATGGTTGTTTAAAAGCCAGTTTGATCACAATAAATACTTTTTTTTAGCATATGATTGATTTACAACTGCGAAATAAGCATAGTGATCATCAAATATTTGCTCTGTTATCTTTAAAGCTTTAGAAGCCGGTAGGTTTACTCAAGAGGTACCTTCACACAAAAACAGTCTGTTAAACCTGGGCAACAAGGGAGTAAAGCTGACGCACCCTTTGCAAATGAAGGTGGGTTTAAATGTCAATGACAGTCTGTGACTTTAGACTGTGCTGAAAGGCTCATGTAGCTCTGAACTGCCAGCAGTGGTATTTTTACAGCGGAGAAGACTTGAAAGATGAGTGTGAGCAGTGTGAAGAACCTGTTGACAGCTCTTCCCTCACCTGTTCTCCTCTTACGAGTCTTGACATCCACCACAGCAGCTCTGTTCTTCTCTGTGAAGTGTTTGAGCAGAATCATGTTGTGTCGCTCATTGGCGTTGTCGATGAAGACAGCCTGAGTCCCCATACATAGCACCTAATATAAACAGACACATTTATCATTAAACAGCTCTTTCAAAATGTCCTAAGGGCTTTTGCATCTTCAAATGAGTGTACAGATGGCACGTCATAACTTCATACAGGCCTATATTATGTGTGCTAGCATGCACATGTGACATCTTGGTTCATACCTCAGGGAATCCCACGAGCACCAGCAAAGTGAAGAGGTTGGTCCTCTTGAGTTGCTGTGGTAACTGCTGGATGCAGTGATCAGTGAAATTTGCCACAACAGCACACCATTGAGAAGAAACATTCAGATTTCGCAAGATGTCCGCCACAGAGCACGCCCAATCCAGACCGATACGACTGTTGTAATGCAAACACAGGTGATGGACACAGACTCATTGTTTTGTGACAAAAACTGAAAATGTGTTAATTAAAAATACTAAAACTTCCAACAAAGCTAAAGGTGTGAAGGTAAAGTTCAGCTAAACGTTTGACTGTCCCTCCCACATTAAAATATATTCAAATTCAAATGAATTGTACATATACACTACTGTACAAAAATGTAAGGTTGGTATGATTTTTCAATATTTATTCTTATATGATGATTTGGTGTTCCAGAAACAACTATCTATGTTGAAAACAGTTGCGCTGCTTAAATTTCTTTGTGGAAGCCACGATAAATTTGTAACATTATAAATGTTTTTAATGTCACTTTTGAAAAATGTTAATGCATGCTTGTCAAATAAAAGCATTCATTTCTTTTTTTAATTATATGGAGAGAGAGATGTATACCAAACTTTTGAACGGTAGTGTTTATGACTTTGTACATCAACAATGATTATTTAAGTGGCCTCTAATACACATTATATTTAACCATATGTTACACATTCAATCACAGTACCTGTCCAAACACACTGCTCCCAGACTGAAGAGCAATTGAGTGGTCTTCCAGCCAGGAACATCAAGTGCTGCTCCATCTCTGAGGGTAAGCAACTCAAATTTGTCTGTCAGTGCCTCTGCCACAGCTGCATCAGCCTCTGCAGGAGAGATTCTTAACAGAAGCTGTCCCAGAAGGCCTAGTGTCAGGTGGTATGTTTCATTCAGACAGCCGGCGTTCGAGATGACCACTCTAAACAGCAGTGGCAGGATGGGACTCAGGCTGGACAAAGATAGCGAGCTGCCCTATAGAAGATGAAATGTGTACATGTGCATATTCTGTGTTTCTTGGATGTGAATGTGAGACAAAAAATAGGTATTTGAAATGGCTTCATTTCAGGTTACAAATGAAACATTTTCCAAGTAATTTCTGAAACCAAAAGCCTATAATGACAAATTAAACTGGAATCTTTGTTGTTACCTGTTTGGTTGCAGGCAACATGGCTGCCAACAATCCCAGAATTCTCTCTCTGGAGCATTCGGCAAACACATGTTCTTGTAACGGCCCCCGGGCTGTCTTTTCCTCCTGGTCTTTATAAGCGTCCATGTTCTCTGAGGTAGGAGATGTGACAGTGTCTCCACTTGACACTGAAACTAAAAAAAAAAAAAAAAGAAGGAAATTAGGAGATAAAATTTCTAAATATACATGCATATTGCTTGGAGAGGATGAGGACTTAAAAAAAAAATTAAAAAAAATAAACAGTATGTTTGAGCATTTAAGGCCAAACACAGATTTTTTAATATTTTATAGATTTTCAATTATCCAGTGTAAAGGTAAAATTCAGATTAAGTAAATAATTTCCCTCTCATTATGTCAAAAGCCTTGTCAGTGGTCAGTTGGCAGGAAAAAAACAGATTTAAACACATAAATTTACACAGAAACCAAACTTTGACTAAACAATATTCTATAATACACTCAGAGACTACACCCCCCCCCCAAAGCCTCACCTCTGACTCCAAGGGACAGAGTGTCTTCACTAGACACAGAGGGTGTCTGGCTTGCACTGGACGTATCCTGAGAGACGAGCTTCCTCCTCCTCCTCTCATCCCCTTCTGTATCCAGCCCCTGCTTTTGTGGTTTCTTGTGAAGAGGAATAAAAACAAGAAGCTTATGAGGACTTATGAGGAAAAGTTCAACAGTATGTTTGAACATTTAAGGTCAATCACACTGTTGTTAGCAATATCCTGGGGATTTTATTCACAGACTTGAAAAATAAAAAGACCATAAGCTTCAGTAACGTAGTATGTGTAGTAACTGACTTTGTCTCTAGGTAACGGTGGGGAGCAGATAGCTGTAGTGCTGCTGGGAAGTGAGGAGGTGTCTGTGCTGCTGATGTCCTGAAAAGAGCCAGCCGTCGCAGGACACAGTTCACTCACTGTGGCCGATTCATTTGAAGAAAGCAGGGACAGCAGGGCAGAGGCTCGCAAACCTACAGGAAACATCAGCAACCCTGACTATACAGCCACATCAACCAAGACTTCCATTTCTAATTAACACACACAACTTCATTCTTAATAGATCATGAACATTCAGATATATCGATTACCTTTCCCAGTCTGTCCCTTCAGCAGACACTCATTGATGATGTCAGAGCAGTGGGTCTGCAGAGCCCTGGCGTAACCGAGGGTGACATCATCCAGAGGATCTCCATCCTGCGCTCTCTCGCTGACCAGCTCGGATGTAAACAGGGCGAGTGCGGCAAAAAGAAGCCAGGAGTAGTTATGTATGTAGGGCTGAATGAGTCTGTGGCGGTCACTGATGCGGATGGTGACCATAGGGTACACTGTGATACGGTGGGTGGGCAGATGGCTGGAGAGAGAAGGGTGAAAAAAAACAATAATGATAATAATAATGAAAAAATATAATAATAAAAAATTAAAATATAATAATATGTTTCCCATTGAACCTTAAGTCACTCCAAATAAAAGTATATATATATATAAAAAATAAAACGCCAACAAAAGAAAAAAAAAAAGATATGAAAAATTATGAATTTCATAATAAATATATTGAAAAAACTAAATAAAATTAAAATGCAAAATAGAGGTATGCAAGTAGGTAGGAAAAGAGGATTTGCATCTCTAAATAACCAGATGTGAAATTTATTCATTCATTCATTCGAGGTATCCAATTCTTTTTGCCATCAATAGATTAAAGTTTTGTATCTGACTTGATGTGTATAGTTTTGGTTTGAATTTTTTTTGGTATTTTCAAGTTCATTGTTTAGTTGCCTTTAGTGGTCTTCTCACTTATGTGGGATGTGTATTACCTGTCTGGGTATTTTTTGGCATTGTAACAACCAAAGCAGAGATCGAAGTCCTCACAGACATTACAGTTAATCCTGCTGCCCACGATAAGGCCCTGGCAGTGGTCACAAGCATACTCCATGTTTACCATCTCATGGTCATCCTCATGGCCTTCTGGTTTAGCACCACCTGAACAAGGAGAACAGAGTTCTTCAATATTCGCACTTCAACTGATCAAGTGTGCGAGAAATATACTGCTGCAATAAATGATTTGTGTAGTCACTAACTTAATGTGAATGCAATAAATAAATGGAAAGTTTCATGAACACTTCACTATAGTGTAAGCCATTGCTGACTGTGATGGTGTGACTCACTGAGGAAGCAGGTCTTGCACAGGTCCATGTCTGTGCACTGCAGGCACCGGTAGCGATGCCATGGTGCGATCCGCTCGCAGCCGTCACATGAAATCTCCACATTCAGCAGGTCGCAGTAGCGTGCAATGAACATGTGCATCTGCAAAAGTCAGTGAAAGAGCACCAAGAATGCACAATATATGTTTAGTTTCATATGAGGTTCTTTGTAAATAACATTATTTTAGGGCAGTTTGCAACTTAACTTGTGTCTAAATATGTAAAATCTGTCTGTGCATTTGCAGAGAGCAAAAGACATTTCACAGTTATATTAGACTGACTAAAAAAAGACTAGGCAAACACCTCCATTTCATATTCTAAAACTAAACTCAATCCAAATATTTGTTCTGCTTAAATAAAGGGACTGTCTTATGATTAGGCACTGATGGGTGATGACATTTGCTTGTGTTTGCAGAGATTAAACGTCGAGTCATGACGTAAAAAGGTTTGCAGGAATACATTCAATAAACATTACATGCATAAATAATAATGCTATACCTCCACCCAAAGGTTAGTTTTTTGTGTTGATTCAGCTGTCTTCTTATTTAATTGTCTCCATTATTGATTAAAAGAGTAATTAGTCTTTTGTGAGCTACAGTTTTATTGCACAGGAAAACATTTATTTGATTTGATATCTGTACCTTTCTCTTGTCCTCCACTGAGGCCTGGCTGATCTTGTCAAACCATTTCTCAAACATGCCATCCAAACACTCATCCATCCATTCACAGTTCCTCTCGTAGTCAGCGATCTCATCCTCCTCCGTCCACTGACTACACCATCATGTCACATGGAGAAAAGGACAAACGAGAAGCCAAATAAAACACAGGATACATTTAAACCTAGATTGTGAGATCAGGATTAAGTGAAGCTTAACAGTGTCAAAAACACAAGAATCACAACAACGAAGCTCACCAAATGTGCCCTCAAGATGTCTTCAACAACTTTACAATACAATTTTTATTTCGACCTCCAACGATTATGAAATTACAATAATCGAGATAAAACGATTATTGCTCCCCTTTCCAATTGGGACGTGCTTGATTGATCAAAGTTTATTAGATTTATTCATGTTTTAAAAGCACAAAAGAGAACTTGTGCTGTTCCTCAAGAGGCTTTCTATGCACGCGCTCAGAGACGGAACAGAACATGGACATGTAAAGTCAACTTTTAGCTGAAGGCGTGCCTAAACGGTCAAATGCACGCAAAAATGTGTCAAAATGCAGCGCTTGGTGATTATTCACATAAACCCTTGTCGGTTATGTAATATATGAACAAAAACAGTTGAGAATGAAAATACGTGTGTAACAGTAAATTGGATTTAAAGTGACAGCAGGCTATATTCCTGCTGCTGACTGTGTGCTTAATATTAATCAAACAACAAAAGAGAGTTGCTCTTGACTGAAGGACTTTTGTAGCTTTAATAAGAAACAAAGGACGTTTAATTCTTACAGTGAAGAAAATGTCTTTTTATTTTAAATTCAATTATTCAATTTGTGTAATAGGCTGTTGAATACATTAGACTTGTAAAAAATAAAAAAAAAACTTTAAATGACACGTTTGTTCCATTTATATCTTTTTTTTCATGTATGTGTCCTTTGCTTTTTTTTTTTTAATTACTGACCGTTTAATTATTTTCAATAATTTTTGAGGACTTTATTTTTTTTTAACTAATATTAGTTACGCTAGTATTCAGCTGTGGTATTGAGAATTGTGAAATTTCTCTAAATGTCTCTAAAATGTAGATGTCATAGCAACCTTATTTACAGAAAACATATATTTGACATATATCGCCAGCTTTAAATAAATCACTCATATAAAGTTTTGGTCACGTGGCCGAAAAAAAAAAAAAAAAAACTTTAAATGACACGTTTGTTCCATTTATATCTTTTTTTTTCATGTATGTGTCCTTTTTTTTTTTTAATTACTGACCGTTTAATTATTTGCAATAATTTATGAGGACTTTATTTTTTTTAACTAATATTAGTTACGCTAGTATTCAGCTGTGGTATTGAGAATTGTGAAATTTCTCTAAATGTCTCTAAAATGTAGATGTCATAGCAACCTTATTTACAGAAAACATATATTTGACATATATCGCCAGCTTTAAATAAATCACTCATATAAAGTTTTGGTCACGTGGCCCACTCATAATGGTGATAACAATATTGACCAAAATAATCGTGATAATGATTTTTGCCAGAATTTAGCAGCCCTAACACACACATATACGTATACGTAATATACATATAATATATTACAACAGACCTTTTCTTACAACGGAGGCCAGCTGCTAAGAGCTGTGCAGGTAAAACCTCACTCCCCTGATCTCAAGATGCACACTAGCGACTGGCACACTTCATGTGTCTTGTTTTTAAGAACATCCCGTTTTAATAATAATGTGAACTCTAAAACAGTGTTTCTCAACCAGGTGTTTGATTTTTTATTTTGGCTGAATGGCCACGTAAAGGCTCAAGTCTCTACATCCCTAGCACAGAATGTGTGTTCTGATCCCCGTCTCATACCTGATGGCAATATCGTGCACACTGATGTTTTCTTGGGACATGGTGAGCAGAAGATCAGGCAGTTTGATGTCCAGAAACAGTGACAAATCTTCTGATTCCCAGCTCATATCCAGCAAATGCAGCAGACATGTCTGCACGCATGACAGGGCAGGCAGCAGGACCCTAAGGACATAAAGAAGACATAGCGGACATAAGACATAAAGAAAAAATTGTTGCCCAAGGACTACAGCGGTTGTCTTGATTCATCAGGAATGTAATGGCAGTCCTTGTGTAGCATATTTATTATTAGTAACTTCCAAAAAACACAATGATTTCAAAATTTAAATTCAATATTTAAAAACAGAGCAGAGAGAACCCACTTCTCGTTCAGTGCATTGAAGCCCTGCACGGCCTCTACTAGCATGAGAACAAGCAGATGATACGAGTGCCTGACCAGCTCCCTCATCTCCTGCCCACTGCCCGCCAACTGAGAAAAGTAACTGAGAAAGACAGACAGACCGAGTTACAATAATGATATTAGAACAGCAGTCAGATATTAGTACCATCAGAAATGACAATGGTTTTTTAAGTAACATACTTGGTGAAATCTTTCTGACACGCCAAAAGTTCCTGGAGAAACAAAATACAGGGTGCCTGGAAGAAGTGTGGTTTCCCCAGGGTGAGTATACACTGCTGCACGAGCTCCAGCACCTCACACACACTCAGAGCCTGCGCCTTTTTCAGAGCCAGAGTATGAAGAACACTGAACACACACAGAAAAGTCACCATAAGTACACACACATAATCTAGAAATAAACAAATAAACCTGGAAGGTTTTGAGTTTTTTTTTAACAAAACAAAGAAACATTATGAAACAAAATGAATAAGAAATATTTAAGACTCAGCACTAACTACACTACAACTACTCTAACAACATTTGACAATTTAAATAAATTATTATATATAAAATGTAAAAACATATACACATTTTTAAAATAAATTAATACTTTTAAATATTAAGCAGCACAACTGCCTTCAATAATGATAATAATAAAAATGTTAAAAAACACTATGGAAGTCAAGGGGGAGCAGCAATGGTTTGGGTACCAACATTCTTCAAACTATCTTCTTTTGAGTCAGCAGAAGACAAAAATTCATACAGGTCTGGAACAACATGAGGGTGAACCATCCCTTTAAGTTTATGCATAGAAATCTGTTGAATCATAGCATCATACATCTGTCCATTTACATAATGAGGTGAAAATACCTGCTCTCATTAATGACCATGTCCTTCATAAAGCTGAGGATGTGTTTGAGGATCGGGAAGCGCTCTTTAACAGGTGGTGCCATGCGAGGCTCCTCCATAGATCGTAAGGAAAGGAGCCTCAGGCGTCCCCGACTGAAAGGTGCTTTACGTGGGAAGACTAACGGGGACAGAGGCTCTCCTGTTTGGGACTGAAGACTTTCTGAGGAGCCTGTGGCACCCTGAGAACTGATGCTGCTGGAAGGTCCAGCATCTACTGGTGCAGAGAACGTCTGGTCATGCTGACTGGCCCCTGGGGTCGTCGCTGCTTCTGCTCCCTCAGAAGTCTGGGAGATGGAGGGAGCAGAGGGGCTGGGCTGGAAGTCTCCCTCTGAGGTGGAAACAGATCGAAGAAGAGGAGCAGCACAAGCGCCATCTTCTGGTCTGGAATGCTCTTGTTCCGGAAGTGAAAAGGTTCCTCCACTCGGGCAGAATCGGAATAGGAACAAACTTCTACTGATGCAAATTTCAGCTGTTAAGAGAGTGAAAAAGAGGCCGTGAGAACACAGCAGCATTCTGTGCATCAAAGGCGCAACTATAGCATCAATATTTACCAAGTGACTCCATTGTGAGCTCATTCTGTCCGTCCTTTGTTTCCCCTACTCCATTCATTTTACCCATAAGGTAGCGCTGTTTCATTTCCAACTATCAAAACAGATCAAAAGTGAGAAATAATAATATTATAATAATAATAATATAATGTCATTTTAAAACCAAAAATCATAAGCCATACTAACCATCCATGTTCTGATGCCATCGGCGAGGGCGTAGACCTGCAGAAGGTCCTCACTAAGACTGCTCTGGCCGTTTTTAGCAACTAATGCAGAGGGAATAAGAAAAGGAAACATAACCAAAAGGACACTGGGACTGGGATTGACATGTGTGACCACCAAATTGACCTGTTCATACAAACTTCTTAAAGAAGGAGATCAAATACTGTCTGTACCAAGTCTTTGATGGTTTAACATGGCCCTGGAGTTTTAGGATTTTGACATTATGAAGTAAAATGAACAAGAAATATAAGATTCTTCACTGTTTTCAAGTCATTGATCAAATTTGTGGCATTGACCAAATACTGTTTTTAATCTTTTCTCTGTTCTTATTAGCCTATATATATATATATACACACACACACTGTATATAATTTATTGGCAATTAGATTTTTTTTAATAATTCAACTTTTAAAATTGGTCATAGGCTTCCAAATATTACAAAATAATTATCTGTTTTGGTCAAAATTACTATCAGTGCATTCCTTCTTACTTCAAAATCCAACAGTATGATAAAAAATTGTATGTTTCAAATGTTTTAAAATTGTTTCAAGAGCGTGTCGGCAGCATTTCTCTTTAGTGTTTGCTCTCTTGAACTTGTATGAAACTTAAAATGTCTTTAATTACCAAAGCTCTTAAGACTGTGGTGAAATGCTTTTGTGTGATACACCATGGCCGCCCAGGTGGCGTTCACAGCCTGGTCCACTTTTGAACCTGCAGCAATCTCGTTCCTGATTGGTTGCTTCTTGCAGGTCAAAAAAAGGGCCCTCATGAGCTCCGTCCTGCCATCAGAAGCATCCTGCGAAGGATCCCAGCAGGCAAAGTCCTTAAGGAATTCCACCAATTCATCTCCCAAAGGAGCTGGCTCTTCCTGTAGAACAAAAGATGCACAAACACGGTTAGACCTTTTTTGGACTGAAACACACACAAAGTCATAATCCAAGTACTCTCACCTGGTTGGTGTCCGAGCTGTCCAGTGCCAACTTTTTTTCTCCAGGAAGTCCACTCAAACCATGTCTGAACATAGGCTTCCATAGAGGACAGGACAGGACATGGTTCATCAAGCTTGCAGGTAACTCTTTTACACCACGGAGCTCTTCAAGGGGAAGGCAAACATAACAAAACCATCATCGTAAGTCAGTGTGTTTTCACACTTTTACAACTACCTGCAATTTATACACGTTTATGTGGAATATATATATATTTTTAATTAAACACAAGGAATAAAATTAGCCTTTTTAAAATAATTTAACAGAGAAATAATCAAAAGTAATCGATTATCACACCATAAGGTGATTTCAAAGCCATGGTGCGGGAGGCCAGACGGCCCATTAGCCTGGACACGAGGAGCTGCAGGTCTGAGGTCCAGGACACGGTGATGTCTGGCAGGCCATATGCTGTCACTGTGAACTTGTAACCCCATTCATTATTACTGCTGTCTGAGTGGAACAGAAACTGCAGCTGGGGACCCGCTTTAAACGTCACTTTCTGAAGAAGAAAAGAAAAAATGACTAATAAAATAAATAAAATGTATTTTTATTCTTCTTCAAGATCTCAGAGTAAATAAAAAAATTGGAATTACATTCAAGCAAGGGGCTAGACCTGGGCGATAAAACGGAATCGATATTTATCGACGGTACACCTTCTTCGATATCAACAAAATTTTTCACGATATAGGCACATGCTATGAGTGACGCAGACAGCACACACAAACACATGCTGAAATGAGTGCTGTGCCTGCCTGTGAAGAGGAGATTGTGAATAAAGAATGAATATTAGTCGAATTTAAAATAAACATTTGCATTTGAATGTTAGGTGTGCATCAGGGAGTGTCATCAGTGGCGCACGAGATGCGGTGATAATGATGTAAGTGACGTTGTTGCATTTTAATGTTTTGTTAGTCTAGCCCACGAGACGCGCCGCTGCAGCGTTATTCATTCAAAATATTAGAGAAATATAGAATCTCAATGCGGAGAAGATCTTGAATGGGTTAAAACCGAAACCAAATCATTCACACAGAATGCATATTCAGCGCATTTTTAGACGGACAAATATGACTGCTGCACTCGCGTCTCACACAAGAGATGTATAGAAAGCCATGCAAAGTTAAAACAGTTTAAACTTTTAGAAAACATGTCACAAATTTGTGGAGGTTTATTCCTTTTCACTGCGTCTCATATGTTTTTAAATGCAGTCTGTGTGAATGGCACTTCGGTTCTTTGGATTAAAGGGGTCATCATTTTTTCTTTCTCTTTGGAGTGTTACAAGCTCTTGGTGCATAAATAAGATCTGCAAAGTTGCAAAGTCTAAAGTCTCAAATCCAAAGAGATATTCTTTATAAAAGTTAAGAGTCAACCACGCCCTCCTAAAATGGCTCGTTCTAACACTAGTGTTGGGTCGTTCTTGAACGATTCGTTCATTTTGAACGAATCTTTAATGTGACTCGGGAAGAACGAGTCGTCTCGGGGAGTGATTCGTTCAGTCGCACATCCGCAACATCCTATAGGTTCTGTACTGGAATTGGTCAAGTAGTTCACCTGTTTCGAGTCTTCGGGTTTTTCGAGTCGTTAATTCATCATGTGACAGCCCCATAAGTTTACCCTATGCAGTCTGAGCCGGAAAGAGACTTGATAATAATAACAAACTCTTTATTTCCTTTGTTACAACATTCAGTGTTATGGAAAAGAACCATAATGACAGAAATTCACACATTTATAAACTTTAAGAATTAAAAAGCTACAATTTGAGACCAGAAATGCATCACGTAACTGTAAGAGTAAATAATAATTATAATAATGATGATGATAATAATAATAATAACTATGCACCCGTTTGTAAGGAAGCTTGTAAATTAACAAATTTCTCTATCCAATGCTGTCACGTCACGTGACAAAAGAACAATGATTCAAAAGACTCGAGAGATGAACTAATCAATTCTCTTCCCGGCTCAGACTGCATTGGTTAAAGCTTATGGGGCTGTCATGTGATGAACGAACGACTCAAACCCGAAGACTCGAGAGATGAACTAATCAATTCTCTTTCCAGCTCAGACTGCATTGGTTAAAGCTTATGGGGCTGTCATGTGATGAACGAACGACTCAAACCCGAAGACTCGAGAGATGAACTAATCAATTCTCTTTCCAGCTCAGACTGCATTGGTTAAAGCTTATGGGGCTGTCACGTGATGAACGAACGACTCAAACCCGAAGACATGTCAGATAAGAGGTGGTGAGCTAATCATAGATGGAAGACCCAGGTAAACAATGAATTAATCTTTTCTGTTTCTTATAGCAGTTTTGTATTGTTTGTATTTGTAGTGTGATCAACGTTTGCATAAGTAGTAGATGTGTTAAGGAAGTAACACGTAACATTTTGTAAAAATCGATGCGTTTCAGAAAGGCAGGGCATAGAGGAGAAACAATAATGTACATTATATGGAAAAGAATGTGTTTTTTTAACCTTAAACCGCATAAACACATTGCATTACACCAAATACACAACATAATATTCTTTTTAGCAATGTCATATGACCCCTTTAAGCAATGCATAAATACATTATGCTGTTTTGTTCATAATTGTTTATGCAATTTACAAAATTATATTTGATTTTTATGAGTTAATTTAGACGTAATGCACGGGTTTTTATAGAGTTACTTGCTCAATGCGCTGCATTATTTTGCTCATTGCGCCCTCGGGAGACAATTAGACCTATACAATAAAGACCTATTTAATCTGCATATAAAACATTAGAAATTAGATATTTGTTTAATTTTTATTGTGTTTGATTGTTAAAACAAAAAATTATTGTTTGTCTCAATAAATTGTGTTAATTATAAATACAGTGGTTAAATTTAAACTTATTTTTTTCTATTGCTTTTTGTTTTAAAAAAAGTTTATAAAAATGTCAATAATTATCAATACCGAACGATATGAAACATTTTATAGTTGATACATTTTTTAGCTATATCGCCCAGCCCTACAAGGGGTATAATTAATTGCATTCATTTTAACAAATTATTTTTAATATAATTCATTACATAACTAAACACATTCTGTTGACATATATAGTTAAAATACTCCAATAAAATGTTTTTGTACCTTTGGCCATTTCTCCGTGCCAACCTTCATATCATACCGCACTTTTCCTCCCCTAGCATCAGTGAATTCCAGATAGTCGTACCTACAAAAACAAAAACACTCAATCAGTGTAAATATAATGCATACTTTAACTCAAGCCACATGGTATCTGTAACAGGTAAAGTGCGAGATTGATTCCCGTTTTCACCAGAAGGTGGCATAAGTCTTTCACACCTTTTCTCTGTTTCGCAACGTTCATCAAACTCCACCTCGAATGACGTGGCACCAGGACAGACAAAGACGGTGGTCTCGTGTCTACTGTTCTCATAGTTATGAGGCGACTCCATATGCCACGTCCTTAAAACAACAGGCTGCTGAGTCTGCTGACAGCCCTCCATATCAACCTATAAACACACAGGGATAAAAGCTCTGATAAATGCATTATTCACACCAATGGTGGTCATTCATTTATTAGCTGCTTGCTTTTTAAATGGCAAGTGGAAAAACCTAAGTGAAATACTTTCATTTTCAGTCATTTTAATTCTATTTATTTTAACTTGAATGTGTTAAGGCACTGAGTGAACTGACCTTAGAGAAGATGTCCTCTGTGTCACTAGACAGCTTCTTGAGGAGGTCTGCCAGAGGGTAGTATCTCTTGAGCAGCACACAGTGAGGAATATCCAGGGCGCACAGCTCCAGCAGGAAGATTGTCTACAACAGCACACAATCCACACTTAATATGTACATACATATATACTGTCCGAACAGACGCATGAATAAATTATAAAATAAAGACATAGTGGGACAAAGCGGTCTGCTACCAGCTGTCTTGTTGCCATGGCGAGGATAGATCCACTGAGTTTCTCCATGATGTCAACCCCAGAAAAGCGCTTGATAAGAAGACTCAGTATGTCTCTGGTACCTGACAGGAACTGTTCCACATCTAATATCCAAGAGAAACAACACAGATGTATTCACACTGCATTAGACTACTGCAAATAATCACTACCGTTCAAAAGTTTGGGGTTTGTAATTTCTTTTTAAGGTAAGGCTGCATTTATTTGATAGAGTAAAAATAGTAATACTGTCAAAGATTACAAATTAAAGAATTGTTTTTTATTTGTATATTTTAAAATGTAATTTACTCCTGCATGCAAAGCTGAATTTTCAGCCGCCGTTTTCAGTGTCACATGATCCTTCAGAAATCATTCTAATATGCTGCTTTGGTGCTCGTCTAACATTTCTGATTATTATCACTGTTGAAAAGAGTTGTGCTGCTTAATATTTTCGTGGAAATCGCATTCAGGATTCTCTAATGAATAGAAAGTTCCATTATAAGAACAGCACTGTAACATTATAAATGTATTAATGTCACTTTTAATGCGTCCTTGATGAATAAAAGTATTTCATTAAAAGAAAATGTGCACATGTTTCGTCATGTGTAACTACTATTCACTCTGAAGAGTCAAATAAAGCTGACGGTACAATCTGTAGTGCTAGACTAAATGTTCACAACCATTTGCTTTTTCGTAGAACTTCAATATCTGAAGGTAAAAAAAGACATGGAACTGGACTACATCTTTATAGAGACTGCAAAAGGGCAGAGACCACTGAAAATCTAGAAACTTAACTGATCTACGACACACTTTCAAATATTCTCATCATCAGATTTTACACAAACACATGCCACTTGAGTGCTGAATGTTAGGGATGTAACGATTCACTCAAGTCACGATTCGATTCACAATTTTTTTTTAACAAAATGAGATTTAAGAAAAATTATAAATGAAATGTGTTCTTTTATTATTGCTTGGACAAAATACTGCACGTTTCTGTGAAATTTAAATATAACACTATAATAATATACTAATATAGCACTTTTATTATAGCATATTATTGCTCTTTTGTTGGTTTTGATTGCTTCTATTGTCCTCATTTGTAAGTCACTTTGGATAAAAGCATCTGCTAAATAACAACATTTAAAGGGGTTCTATTATGCTTTTTCACTTTTTTAATTTTAGTCAGTGTGTAGTGTGTATGTTTGGGCATTAAAAAGATCCAGAAAGTTACAAATCTCAAAGTCCACTCCAAAGGGAGACTACAGCGTTTGTTTTCCGGGCTTTGTGATATCACAAAACGGTTCATTGGAATATCATTACAAAGAATTCCCGCCTACAGAAATTCGAATGGTTGACATTACCGGATATTCCTCCATGATTCCAGTTTGAAGGGATATGTTCCATACAAAGGGCATTTAAGTGTGCGAGACGTGAATTTAAATTGTATTTACAGAGGTATATTATGTCCCACTTCACGCTTCTCACGTAAGTTTCGTTTGTGTGTGAAGACGCTGAATGCAGGCAGCGGCGCAGCGCAAATCTGTAAATGAATATTCCGAAGTGAAGTAAACTTCAACGGATTTCCCCTGCTCAGGGAGTAGGGAGCAATGGACACTGTGTAGGGACCATGTCAATCGGAACACAGTTCATGCACGGAGCTCACTTCTAACAAGATGATCTGAATCAGGTGCGTTAACAAAGAGAGACGTGCAAAACATGCAGAGCGGGGGTACGCGAGGACTGGGATTGAGAACCGCTGGTCTAGAACAATTCTTACAAATATAACACGACGTAGCTGGGCGCCGTGGACAGACGCCAAACGGCGACGCTGCGCTTCTTGTCCGGTGTGCGACCGCCTGAAATGCTGTTTTTTTCACCTCCGTGCCCAAACGTCTTTGTTTGGGCTTCTGAAAGCGGATGATATCAGGAAACAGTGGTTGCAATTTATGCAATTTATCCTGAGCATTATAACCCCAATTTGCTATTGTGTGCTGCGCATTTTACTGAGGACAGCTTCAACATGAGTGAGTAGTGCCGGATTCCCAAAAGCTTTTGTTGACAGACGGAGCAAGGGGGCGGGGCAGTACTGAAACACCGTCTAAGCTGTTCGTCAATCACAACGCACTGGGACAGCTAACCAATCACAACACATTTTGTTTTTCGGTAGGTGGACATTCATCAAACCCGGAACTAATCGAGCCATTTGTGCCAGCCTGGGGCGAAAGGTATTGTAATAATGTAAATTATGTGAAAAATAATGCGTTTTTCGAACCACCAAGCATGAGAGCATGTTCTAGTACACCCCCAAAACAAAATCAAGACTTTGTAAAAGAGCATAATAGGACCCCTTTAAATATAATGTAAATGTAAATAACAAAACTAAATTGAAATGTAAAAAAAGCCCCAAATCAAATAAATAAGTAACACAAATAAAAGAAAACTCTTCATATAAACAAAATAAGGCTTTGTCTGGGCTCTTTCCATTTAAAATGAGAGGCAACCACTGCATTTTAATCATGATCCAAACAAAGATGCTGCATACATGCAAAATGAGCAGTTTTTAATCTAAATTAGATTGTATCATTTCGAAATTTGAAGCAAAAACAGAATGGTTTGACTTCAGTTTTGAGAAACTATACATAAAAAATATCTGCATGAAACAGAAACAGCAGACGAGCTGAATGAGACGCAGATGCACTCTCTGCCAGCAGGTGGCACTTAAAGCGTTTCCTGGTTTCTGCTGTAAACAAAGCAGTGCTGCACTTATGAACTTTAATATGCATTATACAGAGGCAAGAGGAAAAGAAAAAATACCATCTAAACTTTTCTAAAGACAGTAAGTTCCCCTCAGACATACATTCATATAAACTCCTACCCCTAATTGAATCGCGATTTGTTTAGCATCTCAACCGATTTGAATCTCATATTTGAATTCGATTTTCAACCGGCTTGCGGTTAATTGTTACTTCCCTACTGAATGTTAATTCTTCTATTCAGCTTTGTAACTGTTAAGCTCATAATATAATGTGTAATGAAAAAGGCATTACAATGTAAATATTTAATATATACATTTACCACAGTACCAGCATTTTCACAAGTGGAGTTTTCAACCCTACTGTATTTTGAAGGGCTCTATAAACGCAGACTGGAAAACCAAGAAAAGCACACTAACATTTAATCAGGATTTCCCTGGCCAGATCAGCAGAGGTGGCCATTCCTCCTTTGAGCTGCAGGAAGCACCAGGACAGCAGGCTGCCCTGTAAAGCCCAGAAGAGAGACAGTAGGACTCTCCAAATAGACCCTCCTTTGGAATCCAACATCAACACCTCACACTGAAGAAAGGGAGAGGGGCATTTTACATGGATCACCATCACATCACTCTTTATAAAGCTAGACAAGAGAAAACCATTAGTGAAATGCATTACAAAATGAGGTGTCAGCTAACAGATGTTAATGGACAATGTAAACATCTAAAGCATGTGTCAGCTTTTTGCAGGAGCTTATATATGTGTGCAGGGGTGACTAGATGAGGTCGGCAGCTGTCAGCACAGGGCAGACATACCTCTCTAGTGGCCACAATGAGCAGCGTGTCCATGACGGTCAGGACAGGTGAGATGTCAAAGTCAGATGGGGATCCTTTAGGAGGCAGCAAGAGGAGACCTTTCGGGTCCTGATCACTGCAAACAGTGATTAGTGAGAGACAATGTGTGAGAGCAGAAAGTAAGCTATTTGGTTTTACAGGACAGGGACAGAAAAGAGTACTAGTTTAAAGGGAGGAGTTTGATACCTGAAGTAACTGCAGAGAGACTCAAATGTCAGTTTCACAGATTCTGGCTGATTTTCCTCAGTTATGTTTTTCTGAGAAAAGCAGCAGCAGCAACAACAACAAAACGTTCATAAAAAGCAACTCAATGATAATATTCAGCAAAGGCAAGTAGACCCTCAAAGTCTTACCATCATGTGGAAGAGTTTGTCCCTCCGGCTCTGTTTGTCAGGGAAGAAAATGGCGGCTCCATTGAGGATGGCTTTTACAGCTTCTTTTCTCAGAGCTTTCTCCACTGCAGTCTCTCCTTTAGGGCCGTCCACCACTGGACAGTACAAAACTGTGGGTTATTCTCTCAACCAGCATCAAAATACAATAGCATTATTACATGGCTTTTAACAATTTCAAGTGAATGTTTTAAAGAAGTCTCAGTGTGTTTTCAGCCATCAATTTTAACTGATATTTTCTTTTATCACAATTTGATAAAAAAAATATTAAGCAGCACAAATGTTTTCAACATTAATAAAAATAAATGTGTCTTGAGCACCAAAAAAGAACATTGGAATAATTTCTGAAGGAAAATTCAGCTTTGCCACAGGAATAAATTATATTTAAATGTATATTTATTTGTTTGTTATAGGCCATTTGTTGTGGAGAAAATAAGGAAAGTGTGTCCGGCTGAATTAATTTAGTATTTTGTTAGACGGGTATAAAAAAAAAGCTTAGTTTACTGCGACAGCCGTCGCGTGAAGGCCTCCTCGTGTGAAGACCGAAGGGTGTAAAGACCATCGACTCTACCGTGCGACTCCACCAAGCAGGGACACCAGCAAAGGATAAGTGTCACTTTTTATTTCTCCTCTTTCCTATTGCTTGTTTCACTTCCGTTTCGGTTTTTGTGACCATTTCTTGCTATGTGTAACAGTTAAGTGGGTTGTTGTTTTTTGGCATGTAGGTTTGGCAGTGTTGTTTTTTGGGATTACTGATGGACTACTGTCATTTGATTTGTATTATTTGTATTTGTTATTTAATTAGATTTTACTTACATTATGTCTGAATTTATTATGTCTGTATATGTATTTTATTGGGGTTTTATTTGATTCGAGTTGTTTTAGTGCTTCGGCAGGCTGGATGGAAATGAAATAATATATATGTTGCATTTATGGATGTGTATGTACATGCACAGTGTGTGTGTGGTTGTACATACACATGTAGTTTTTTTTATTTTGGTGTTTGGCTTGGTGTTATGTTGGAGTCATTGTTGTGCTCTTACACCTTTAGTTCTTTGGTATTTTGAATTGTTTTGGGCTTTATTTATTGTTTTTCATTTAAATGTTAAGTTTTGGAGTTTTGTTGTATGCATTTGTCATTTTTATTTAATCTCTTTATTTTTTAAATATGTATAGGTAGTATTTATAAAGTTTTGGATCTGTTTTTAGTTGGTTTAATACTAGAATTGATTGCTTCTGTTTTCCTCATTTGTAAGTCGCTTTGGATAAAAGCGTCTGCTAAATGACTAAATAAATAAATAAATTATATATATATATATATATATATATATATATATATAGAAATAAAGAGTTATTTTAAATTGTAGTCATATTTCACAATATTACAGCTTTTATTGTATTTTCCATTAAACAAATGCAACCTTGGTGAACATAAGAAACTTTAAAACTAAGAGACTCTAAAAAGTACAGATTATAAACTTTTGATTAGTACTGTTTGCATTAGAGCAGCTAAAAACTTTTACTTCAGCTGTTCCAGTAGTGCTCCATGACAACAAATCAAACTGCACATGCATCTACACAGCTGTAAGGCATTACAAACAAACCACTGCAATATGTCTCGGCACAGTCATACGGAGCAGCATGCGAGTCTTACCTTGACACAAGTGACTGTAGAGCTCTCCGATGGTTTCTGCAGGGCCCACGTCTGTGCTGGCTGAGGGTGATGCTGATGCTGAAGCTGAGGCTGTGATGTCTGACAACTGGGACTCTGTCAGGCTGGGCAGCATTGGGAAGCAGTTCTGGAACAGCTGAAGCAGGAGAACTCTTGTCTTTACGGCCTCCTCTCCCTCACTGAAAGTGTACGAAGTGCGCGCATACACACACATACACAGCAGACATTAGAAAAATCATTTTTAAACACTTTTTGCCTTCATTACTGCATTAATATAAAATGAATCACTGCTTTCCAGCATATACTCTTTGTAACCCCACTGTATGATAATTAAAAATTACATCCCATTTATAAACCATTTACAATAAAATCCATGCACATATAAACATAAATTCACATTACAGCTTTACTCACATAGATCTGAGTTTGCGGTAGAAGTCCCAGAACAGCTGCAGGCTGAGGTCGCTGAAGTCCAGCAGGGACTTCTGCTTGGACAAAGACACATCCTGTAACATAGGCTCAAAATTTATGCAGCTCTCTTTAGAGATGCATGCAAAGTTCACTGAAAAAATGCATTATGAATTTCAGAGTTGTGTTAAAAACAAATTAGGTCACTTGCAAGAGTACATTTGGTGGGTGTACCATATCTCTTGTGAGCTGCTGGATAAAATAAAGGGTTTTCTTTATGAGTGTGAGACCCGTAACCAGGCCTGAAACGCTCCCCTCGGCCTGAGCACTCAGATCCTCCACATCCTCCATCCGCTCTGAGTCTGGACATAAATAACCACTGAAACTCATCTGCTGAACCCCCAACCGCTCTGCCGTGTCCTGCCTTGCACACAGGAACTTCACCATCAAAAACTACACACAGAAAGACAGAAAGAGTGGATGTTAATTAAGTGTTACAATTTTTTCCCCCCCAAAAGGGTTAATAACATACTGTAATTCCTGCCCGTTTAGGTTTTTTGGCACATTTACATAACTTGCCATTCTGGTATCTTTGCACTTACTGTGGGATAGCTACTGCATTATTTTATCATGACAAAAAAAGATTGTCTCAAGTCAGTGTTTAAACAGTCTGCATTTTATTGCTTACTGTCCAATGTGTGTTACCATAACCATGATTTTTGCTTTAAAAAAAAAAGATTAGTCTAATTTTTGGCAGTGGCAGTGTCAAGAGCAAACTATCAAAGAAAGAAAGAAAGAATCCATACTTTTGACACTCTGCATTGTTGCAGCTTGATCTCCATGTCGTTCCAGTCCTCTTCCACCTCAAACCAGCCAATGGGCTCATCCTCACTGGTCTCTGGCATCCTTGTGCTGGAGTGGGTGTGTTTGAGTGTGAATGTGATACACATGACGACAGTGTGTGGGGTACAGAGGCAGATAACAGAGAGAGGTCGGTCAACTGACTCACAGAAACATTCTCACTGAATTTACAGCCATCTTGGCCTTGTGCACATGTGCAAAGATCAAAAACACTCTCACATGCAATGGCAAGACAATGCATTCTCACGCTATACTTCACACTCACACAGGCTGCACTCTCTCACACATTCCTAAACAAGCACTATTTAAAGTTCAAGTGATCAATATTGGCTGTCTCTTATGAGCAACAATGTTAAATGAACTCCAGATAGATAAATCAACAACTAATCACGTTACAGACTAAGAATGTGACATACCTGTCTTGGACAAAGTCTTTATAGTCTTTGTAGTCCCAGCTGTCGTACTTTTTGAATCTTTTGAAGTGTTTATCTGCATCAAATGCCTCGCTGTCATTGTAGGCAAACATCAAGCCACATTTAGCACCAATAGCTCCTTTACGCACCTGAAACGTAGGAACACAGCAGTGCTTTAAAACTAGGATGTGTAGATCAAATCAGTTTGTATGCTTCCAACTGAAATTTATTTGACTACCATACTGACAGAACATACTCTAATTTCATATTTATGAAGTATGACGCACAAATGCTCAAGTGTGTACTAAAGCTTCTCTCACTTTTATCTTGATCTGTGTGACCTGGAAGCAGCTCTGGTTTTCAGTGGAGAGAATCACACTGGCTTTCCTCTTTCCATTCTCTGTCAGAAAACCTGCAGGTACAAATGAAGCATCCCTTTGAGAGTGCCAACTCTGCATGAGTTTCTTTCTAAACATTACAGATGACCAAAAAAGCAGCACATTCATATTGCTTTTTTCCACAGAGAAAGTTCATTCTTTTAAAGCACAAAGCTATTTAAAAGGCATCGCTATTCACCCCAGCACTTCGGTGATTTATCTGTGAAGCACTCGACCAAAATACACATCTCTACTCCAAATAAAACCAGGACTGGGTGGAATGTTATGCATGATTTGCGTACCATCTCCAGTATTTGGCTCCGTTAGCATGTTTTCTGGGCCAGACTTCTCCTCTTTGCTCTTCACATCACATGCCTGCAGATGGAGCTGGATAGATTTACCTACACACACACACACACACACACACACACACACACACACACACACACAAGGTTTAAAACTATTACAAAGTTGTAGCATAAATCGCAAATGCAGCTAACCCTTATATTTCTAAACAAATGAAAATATACATCTCTCCTAAATAAGTGCTATATATATATACAGTGGGTATGGAAAGTATTCAGACCCCCTTATATTTTTCACTGTTATATTGCAGTTAATTTTTTTCCTCATTAATGTACACACAGCACCCCATATTGACGCAGCAGCATCATGGAATAGAAAATGTAATGTATTTAAATTGTATATAATGTATATTTTCTGTGATATACATTATATACAATTTAAAATACATAAAATGTTCTATGCTGCGAGTTTAAAAAAAAAGTATATAAGTATATATATATATATATATATATATATATATATATATATATATATATATATATATATATATATATATATATACACACACACACACATATACATATATATAGATTTGTTTTTTGTACCCATGAACTCTGTTTGAAATAGTGTAAATTGCACAAAAACAGGGGGAAAAATTGAACAAGGATACAAATTACACATTGATTGAAGTTTTTTCAAGTTTGTAGGTGTTCAGGCACAGAAACAGAATAATCAAATGTAAAATAGCATTGCATAGTCTTCACTGCATAAATTAAATATAGATTAATTCTTGTTAAAACTACAAAAGTAATTCAGTCAAGAGCAGTGAGTGATTTTGTCTTTTTTTTTTCTTGGATTAACATAAAAGGGTTAGCTCACCCAAAAACGAAATTTAGCCTGTGTTTTACTCTCCCTCGAAGCATCCTAGTTGTATGTAACTTTCTTCATTCAGATGAATCCAATCGGAGTTATATTAAAAATTGTCCTGGCCCCTCCAAGCCTTTCAGTGGGGGTAAGCGGGTGCTCGGTTGTCAACACTTCAGAAGACGTGAAATAAAGTGCGCTCATCCATAATAAAACGTCCCTCACACGGCTCCGGGGGGTGAATAAAGGCCCCCTGTAGCGAATCCATGCATTTTTGTAAGATAAATATCCATATTTCAAACGTAATAAACACTTCAGTTTTCCATTCAGATGAAACAGCTGTAATTATTCACTGATAGAAAACAGTTTTCCATTATTATCAGGTCGTATAATTAAAACCAAAAGGGGTATGCCGCTGTTGCCCTCCACGTCAGCATTGTTTTGACCCATTAATAACAGATTTAAACATGCTGAGCTGAGCTTGTGCTAGTAGAGCTTGATTCTTACTCTGCTATGCGCAGTAAAAAGCCGTCCACCTCTTCCAGAATGTTTGGAGAGAGGAATTTGGGAAACTCCATTGAAGACGGTGTTAAGGACAGGGGAGTAAACACTTTTTTCTCACTTCCGCTGACTGTGGTACACGGAAGACATGCAGACGGATGACGTAGGACATAGGCGTCGTGCGCGCGCCTCTGAGAAATGCAGGAGCAAAGGAAGCAAAGTTTCCTTACTTTAGCAAAGGAAAACCAGACTCCTCTTGGCTTCGAAATCCTCTGACATTTTTCTTTACAAATCCTTGTTTTGTGCTTCTAATTCGTGACTGGTGTTTTGTTTTGTTCTCTCTCCACGCCACGCCGACGTCATCCACCAGAACGCCTTCCGCATATGACAGAATATCAGAAGTGAGAGAAAAGTGTTTAATACGTTTGAAATATGAATATTTATCTCACAAAAACGCATTGGTTCACTACAGGAGGCCTTTATTCACCCCCCGGAACTGTGTGAGGGACGTTTTATTATGGATGCGTGCACTGTATTTCAAGTCTTCTGAACTGTTGACAACCGAACACTACCCCCACTGAAAGGCTTGGAGGGGCCAGGACAATTTTTAATATAACTCTGATTGGATTCGTCTGAAAGAAAAAAGTCACATACACCTAGGATGCTTCGAGGGTGAGTATTGGCTTCGAAATCCTCTGACATTTTTCTTTACAAATCCTTGTTTTGTGCTTCTAATTCGTGACTGGTGTTTTGTTTTGTTCTCTCTCCACGCCACGCCGACGTCATCCACCAGAACGCCTTCCGCATATGACAGAATATCAGAAGTGAGAGAAAAGTGTTTAATACGTTTGAAATATGAATATTTATCTCACAAAAACGCATTGGTTCACTACAGGAGGCCTTTATTCACCCCCCGGAACTGTGTGAGGGACGTTTTATTATGGATGCGTGCACTGTATTTCAAGTCTTCTGAACTGTTGACAACCGAACACTACCCCCACTGAAAGGCTTGGAGGGGCCAGGACAATTTTTAATATAACTCTGATTGGATTCGTCTGAAAGAAAAAAGTCACATACACCTAGGATGCTTCGAGGGTGAGTAAAACACAGGCTAATTTTAATTTTTGGGTGAACTAACCCTTTAAGGACACACCGACAGCAGCTAGTAAATTAGGCAGAACATGGGTGCTGAATTAAGTTCTTTTGCATCTTTTTGCACTTGAATGTTTAAACTGACAAGGTGTATTTGTTCGTTCAATCACAAGAAGATGCAAAAGATAACTCAATTTGATGTTTGCGTGCTGTCTGAGATGCGACTCTCTGTGTGCTCACCGAACACAGCACGCGAGTACTCAGTTGAGTTCTTCTGCATCTTCTTTTGCTTGAATGCTTTAAAATCTCTTGAATGTTTAAACAGGCAAGGCTTAAAAATCATATGCAAATTATAAGCTTTCGTGATGAAACGCAGCAGTGGCCCGTCAACTGTCCTGAGGGTCTTTCATGCTGGCTTCGGGCAGTTGGTTTAAACCCCCCCCCCCCCATGCCCCTATTAATTTTCAGTACTAAAATCACTGAAATTAAAACTGAAATAAAAATAAAGTTAAAAAGAAATATTAAAAAAAACAACAACTAATTAATATGACAAAAGAACAAAACAAAAATAACTAAAAACGTACACTAAAATTACACTGAAAACATAAAACTAAAAGCTAATTCCAAATATGAATACATATTATAATAGTATATAATATATAAATAAGGCTAAAATAAAACTGATCTAAATACAGTACATCTTTTCCTGCAGTTCACTTTCATAAACAGTCATTAGGATCATCATGTGGGAGTTGACTGCATCAAAAATATTGAAAATCTTTTGGAACTAATGTGCATTACCGTTACGGTAGAGTAGTCTTAACCGGACCGATGCCATAGAGGCCAGCAGTGAGGAAGCTCTGTACTCTGAGTCCAGATGCTCACAGATACCAGACAGAGAGATGAGGACTTTAGCCACGCTGCCTCGAGCCAGAGCAAACGCTAACAGAGTCAGCTCAGCCTCAGGAGAGACACAGCAGCTAGAGAGAGACAGGATGGTTAAAAGCAAAGCACTTCTGATAAGCTTTCTCAGCAGAGAAAGGCAGTGACCAGTTAGGTTCAGATGAAACAGCTGTAATTATTCACTGATAGAAAACAGCTTTCCATTATTATCAGGTTGACTCGTATAATTAAAACCAAAAGGGGTATGCCACTGTTGCCCTCCACGTCAGCATTGTTTTGACCCATTAATAACAGATTTAAACATGCTGAGCTGAGCTTGTGCTAGTAGAGCTTGATTCTTACTCTGCTATGCGCAGTAAAAAGCCGTCCACCTCTTCCAGAATGTTTGGAGAGAGGAATTTGGGAAACTCCATTGAAGACGGTGTTAAGGACAGGGGCGGCATGTGCTGTAAGGCTTTCCTAGAGAAAAAAAAAGCATTAAAAAAAACTGTACATTTACCTACTCTGAACAAATTAAGGGATTCATCAATATAAAAACATTCATATATACTGTATATGTATGTACAGGTGCATTAAATAAATTAAATGCACACAGACTGAAGTAGTTTAAGTCTTTGGTTCTTTTAATTGTGATGATTTTGGCTCACATTTAACAAAAACCCACCAATTCACTATCTCAACAAATTAGAATATGGTGACATGCCAATCAGCTAATCAACTCAAAACACCTGCAAAGGTTTCCTGAGCCTTCAAAATGGCCTCTCAGTTTGGTTCACTAGGCTACACAATCATGGGGAAGAATGCTGATCTGACAGTTGT